ACAACGATCTCGTAGATAGATGTATCTCTTTCGAGGGTTTGGTCTATGTGTCGGAAGATGAGTGGGCCAACGTTCGGATACCTCAGGCATACATGGCCTATCCAATGGATGTGGACCTCACCAAGGTCGTGTTCGCGCATTCTAATGGTTTAGATGTGAACGTGGTAAGTGCTATCTGAAAATAGCTTCCACAGTTAAGTTTAATCATGCTATTCAGTCAAAACCGAAGCATAGATTTTAGGAAATAACGTTCGCATTCTCAGGAGTGTTGGCATGTAAGAAAATACGCAATTAGATGTGATAATTCATGAATCGTTAATTGAAATTCTGAAATATGTCCTTGAATCAAACAGTTTACCCAAGCAGATTTGTACTATTAATAATCATGTATTGTAATAGCATAAGCAATCACCTACATCAGGAAGGCGACTTACAAACGAACTTCCTTTTGGCTTCCTGTAACTATTATATTCGGAAAGGATTGACCAGATAATCGGAATGAAATCGATCTATTCTCTGTTGATGCTATTGGGATCTGAGCTATAGTGTAAGGAAATGGCAAAATAAATTTATTCTTTTCTTCATTTTGTAGAGACTACGTCTTCTGCTAATGTTATGCTTGCAGGAAGGGTATTATTCGGATATAATAATTTTATCAATATACAACCTATTGGACCATGAAATGGTAATGTTCGTGTGCATATAAAAAGTTAGTTACTACACGAAGCACCAAGGGTTCAAGCAAGTTAATTCCATGTAGTAGGCCTGAGGGCGTTCGCCTGTGTATTGCCTAACTAAACCATCGCCATTCATGTAGGGAGAGATGACAGTATCTGCACACAGTTTAGCCATTATTTTTGCGTACAAATTCGCACTCGCACAATTTGTCCACTTAAGTAGCAGACCAACCCCTCCAAAAAGCGAACCTCTAGGCACACTCTAGCAAACACATTTTAAGTTTGCAAACATAAGTTGACATTTTAAAACAGTTCCTGCACAATCAAAGATATCTAACTGTATATATGTTCATGCGCGGTTTTAGTATATCTGTGCATCCGAAATCCTTTCCATTTGCAGAAACCAATCAACAACCTCAACATCTCCATTGTCTACAACAGCAAGTCAGTTTGTACGCTAGATGCTGCCAATTCCTACTGGACAATGATCATCGTGAAGAGCGCCCTCACAAACTACGTCCGGCGACTTCAGTCGCGGGAAGTCGTTCTGCGACAGGTTGCCAAACTCGGAGTCAAGGTGGGGTCCTCTTCAGTCTTGGGCTTCCCGAAAACGGTCTAATACCCCCCAAACTCCTCAAAGAAGTCGCTCAATTCGATGACATCCTGCTCGCCAGCTACACCGACACCTACCACAATCTGACCCTCAAGACGATCTCCAATCTGCGCTTTGTTCACCACCACTGTCTGCACGCCAGTCCCTCCTTTGTTTTCCTCGATGATGATCATGGAATCAATCTGCAACAGCTGCGCCAATTCTTCTCAAATTTGTCACTCGTGGAGGTCCGCAGAAGCGTGTTTGGTTTCATTAACTATAACAAACCGGTGATTCGTGATGCTGACGATAAATGGTTCACCTCGATTTCGGACTACCCGTTCCCACATTATCCCGATTATCCGATCGGTCCTTGCTATATCATCGGCGCCGATATTATAAAAAAGCTCTCTATCGCTTCGGCCTTCACACGTCTCATGCCCAATGAGGACGTCTATGTGGGCATGATGTTGATGAAGCTGGGTGTCCGTATTCAACCCCTACCAAATATGCGCATCCATCGCTCACACTTTCCTCGAAATTTTTCCCCCCTGGTAGCAGGTTTGCAATTCTTCACCAAAGAACTTGACATATCATAGAATTTTGTCATCTTTTGCATCTAAAAATCAAATATACCATTTGTTATTAAATAGAATGTTCACCTCTTCTTATTCTGGGAAAACACACCGGGATCAGTCAGTTTTAGGCGGCTTCTAATCTCTATCATGCAGCTCTTCTCAAAGAAGTACGTATATGGAATTATCACCTAATTAGCAGATTTGCATCGACTTTTTATATGAAATAGCTGTGAAGGTGTTGAGTTACCGCAGGCAAGACAATAAATTAATTCTCACGGTTTTATACCCCGAAATATTAAACGCCATTTGGTCCAAATCATGGCAACTAGAGTGCGACGTATCTGCTCTCCTGAGACTGTTGAGGCAGAAATGAAGCACCTGCGGGATATACTCCACGAAAACGTATACGCAAATTATTAACCCTCCGAAGTATAGGGGAATGCATTGAAAAACAACATTATGTGATCTGCAGAAAGAAAGGACGTAACTTTTCATTGGGGGCGTGGACGCAGCAAGTGACCTAGTAAGAAAACCTCTGAAGACAGCGATCGGTAGCGGTTTCGCACCGGCGAATTTACGCATATGTTTAACGGACTATCCCTCCTCCGTTTGGGAGGTAAAGACCGACGCGACATCTGCAATCATAAAGAAAGGTCTAAAAGCTCGGTTCATGGATTCCGTACGCTTTGTATTACGGTGACCAGATTCAGTGCGCAAATCTGTGTGCCTCATAATTCGTCCGGCATCATCTCACCCATCAAAAATGAAAATTTTTTTTGAGGCTTATTTTTACTGGTGATGAATAGTAGAGCTTATATTTGATTAGGCGACACAGAAAGTAATGTCTAGGCCCCAACAAGCAAGCAAAACTCCAAATCAAGCATAAGGATGCTGTGTGACTGAAGGGATATAGATGGAGATTTATATTATGAATCTCATGAGAGAAACCGTACCATCAGTGCAGAGATTTACAGCCAATAGTTTCGCCGTTCGTAAGTTGCAATTCCGCAAAGCCGCCTGAATCGTAGAAATGCTGTTATTCTGCAGCAGGACGACGCCAAGCATCACCAAAATGTCATGTAAGAGCCCGCCTGAGAAGTTCATTCGTATCTGTCGAATTCTCGGGATCTTCCTTCTTTGGATCTACGTCTGCATCTGTCACTGGAAATTTATTTTACGACCGGGCTCTTCAAAATTCGGTCAAGGAATTCTTTGTTTAACAGATAAGACTACAGATGAAAATTCGACCGCCATCAGCGATGACTTCTATGATGGGAACCTTTGGATGGTGGCCATAGCAACTGTGAATTGCAGGCGTATTAGGTTATAATGATGGAAGCCGTGCTCCATATCCATCAAACGTTCTCCTCTCTCCATCAACCCCAGTGCTGCGTCTAGTAGACCGCAATGGCCGACAAAGTCGAACAGTCCGACTGCGCTTGCCCTTCACGTCTGCTCCGCGCACAAATGACCAGGATTTTGAACAATATGAAGGAGGAGACTCGAAACCCCAACAGACCGTCAGTGCCGCATCCTAATTCGTTCGCATCATTTTAATGTGTCCTACATGGCCTTTACTTAACTCCTTTGGAAACAATCACTCTATCTCGCTGTGATATATTCTTGTGGGATCTGCAAGTCATTCGCTGCTGACTAAGACCTCCCAACAACACATCGTATTTGCTGCATCCCGTGTTTGTGTTCATGTGGGGAGCCAGGTCACGTGTTGCGCGATCAGCCACCGTCGCCCAATCCTAGCATCTGCTGTTTGACCGGCTCGGACGGTGGACTGATGCATGGATGAGGTGTGAGATCAAAACAGAAAAATTATAATTAGTAGGCAAATAGTTACCTACTATCAAAAGGGGTATTACGGTGGTAAAGTGAAAACCCATGTGTAGGAAAGAGAGCGAAACGTAAGATCAACACGGAAGAAGAGATTTCCACTGCTGTACTAGCGTATATCATATTACAATGTATGTGACCTTTTTAAATCCACCACGGCGGGCAAAATACCATGGCCTCGAATGGTGTCAGAGGTCAGGAAAATTTTTCCGCTAAGGGCAGACAGACAGTCAGGCTGCATTGACTCCCACATACAGTACCTCATCTCTGTTGATAACCGCACAGCCGCCCCTAACGTCTATGAGAACAGAGTTCGTAGTGCGCGCACGCCCCGTGTGTGTGGCACACGTAGACGGGCTCTTTATTTCCGCCAATCACTTTACCCTAGCCGCCCTTACCGCATAAGGCACATGTGGTGAGAAACAGGCTGTGCGTGGCAAGTGTAGACGGGCTGCCTAGCTCTGACATACGAGTCTTTTCCACCACAAATTTATTTGCCGCACATGTCACCGGTGCTCCCTCCACTCAGTGTGGCACAGGCAGGTCTAATAATACTACCACTACTACCGCTACTACTACGGATACTACCATAACTAACACTACTTCCAATACAACTGTACTACTATTACTACTACAACCACTACTTCTAGTACCACTACAACTACAATTCATACTACTATTGCTGTTGCCACCGCCTCCACCACGACCAATCCTATTCAAAACAACAACTCTAATGCTGCTGCTGCTGCTACTACTACTACTACCACTAAAACTACTACTGCTAGCACTACCACTACTACTATCATTAACAATCTAGTCATACAGAATGTACACCACCAGAGCCCTAGACCACACTCCTCCAGTCGTACTACATTTATGTCATCAGCGGGTCCAGGACAGAAGTTTGCCAAAGATTCTGCACAATTCGGGCATTGCTACAAAATATTAACGGACAAGCTATCAAAATGTTTCTTCCATAATCTTCCACATACAGTCGATGTCTACGAACTGATGATGAACGGATTTGTGCTTTAGCAACCTCATGTACACATCTGACTTCTCAAATATTGAACTTTTCTGTCGGGTGAGGTATTGAATTCAACGGCGGTGGTTAATATTACAATCTTACTTAAGCCATCTTTTCGAGTCCAAAAGAAATTTTGGAATATCGGTTAACATTGCATGAGCTAGCACACCTACTGTAGGTTACTATGCCATACATGCACTCTTAGGCGAACCGAAATCCAGCAATAGGCGACGAATGGAAACACCCTTCTAGATTTGATTACTATAAATTGCCAACTAATAGTGAGCAGGTTACTCCACCTAGTTTTCAGTCCCTTTTCATTCCTACTTCTCTGAAATATTCGTTGCTCATCGTTGGTCGATAGCTTGTGCAGTCTGTGAGACTCCGATATGTGCTTTGTCTGCAGAAAACGTGGTATTTTATATGACGTTTAAGAAGTCTTATGTGTGCCAACACACGAAATATTAAACGGAATTCTAAACTGCCCTTTCCTTTCAAGAAGTTTGCTCAAGTACAGTTTCGAAATTTATCCATAATCTCTATATATGTCATTCCCCCCTTCTCATTCACCAGTTTTTCCTGTCCTTCTCCGAGTTCGTCGTTACTTTTGGTTGATCAATGACTTTTGCTGTCCGTTGGAGTTCTAGCAATATTTACTCTGCAGCCGATGTAGCGAAGAGATTGTCGGTTTCATCCGATGCACCGACAGGTCCTTTATTTCCTCTACTTGATCTGACTCATGCTCAATCCGAGAATGTTTATATCTGCATCCTCAGTATCAATGCCGACAGGCCGAAGAAAATGTTACCAGAAAAATGTCTGAGTCGAAAATATGCCCAACATTTCAGCACATTCATCTGCCAGCATCAGAAACAAGCTCAAAGTATATAAATTATGCGTGCTATGCTGTTGAATGGCACCGCAGCAGCTTTCCGTTTCAATACTTACAGTAGATGTGCTTAATCATGAAATGTCAACCAAAATTTCGAAATGCGTTAAGTAGTGTTGTAAAACTTATCATGATGCAGCATAAATATATAATGGTCCAGTTACCTCAGGGTGTCGCTCTTCAAAAGAACTTATTTGCGGCTGCATGCAAGATCTATAATCTGCAAAAAACGACTACTTATGTAGCATGCAATTTTCTCATTGATGTTCGATGCCTTTGAAAATTAAATTATATTTCATGGAAAACATGCATGAAAATATTCATTCTTTTACTTATTCGGTAGAAAATCACATCTTCCTATTTTATCCTCAACATAGGATTATAATTCGGTTTTAAAAACTTTTCTAATTCCCGAATAATTTTGAACCCGACATGCTGTTACACTTGCATTCATGGTTTCAAAAATACAATCTGTATATTTTCCGTGTACGGAAAACCATATATTTCTCTACGGTGTTAAGAGAAGACCATATGAGATTCATGAAATTAAGCAGTGGATTTGAGCACTATTGTTAACTTTACAAGCCACATTCGTGAATGCAGATAGATGACGTTTCATGAAACGCCATTTAACGGTATCTAAAATTCTCACAATTGTAAACGTTTTTGAAACTGAAACTGAAAGAAGACGTGATTTTCTACCGAATAAGTAAAAGAATGAGTATTTTTATGCATGCTTTCCATGAAATGTAGTTGCATTTTCAAGGGCATTGAAAATCAATGAGAAAATTGCATGCTAATTCAGTAGTCATTTTTTGCAGAGTATAGGTCTTGCATGCAGCCGAAAATAAGTTTTTTCGAAAGCAGACACCTTTAGATAACTGGATCATTGTAGATTTATGCTGCATCCTGATTAATTTTACAACACTTCTTAATTTATCTTTCCGAAATGAGAGCGCATTTCGATATTTTGGTTGACATTTCATGATTAGGCATATCTACTGTACGTTAATTGTCAGAACTTTTGGGTTTTAATTTTTCGTGACTACGAATTCTAGCCCATCGCCATCTGGTCACTAAGCAGCCTGCATAGCAATCCTCTGGACTACGGAGTGTTTCCCTATCATCTTATTATTATTTGCAAGTTTAGGCATCCGACAAGATATCATTTCGTAGTTTCACCTGTTAGGAGTTAGGGTTAGAATTTATTGTTAGAATTTAGAGTTAGGCGCCAGGGTTATGGGTTAGGGATTGAGGTTC